GTAATACACATAGAAAACTTCTGTGAAATTAAACTTTTCATAATACTTAATTTTAATTACACAAATGTGTTTACATAAGTAAAACCACGTAAGCTAACTTATTTGCCAATTTTTTAACATATGCCTTTGGAAAACCTACTTTATTATATAACAGACTTTTGGCTTTAACAGACACCATCTTGCCCCAATTAGTCTGTTATATTAAGGTTTTACTGTGCTTTCACAAGTTAAAAATAAGACATGCTCGTTTTATTAAATATTAGAGGCATGGTGCATGAAAATTCATGCACGGGGGTGGGAGGTGGGTCCTGGCCTGCCCCCTCTCACACAGTCCAGGAGCCCTCAGAGGTGGGAGGTGACCCAGTGATCAGGTGCAGGCGATGCCCCCATCACACCTCTGCTGCTGCCACTGCCAGCAGCGCAAGCCTCGGGTGGCCCTGGGTGGCTAAGGGGCTGAGGAGACTCCGGAGGCAGGTGCATGAAGTGGCTGGACCTGATTGGGGCAGGGCGGCCTGGCTATACCGTGCGCCTGCCACCCCGGAAAGGCTGAGAGGCTTGGATGCCGCTATCTTGTAGCTGTGAGTGCTGCCATCTTTGAGGGCACGATGGTCAATTAGCATATTCCCTCCTTATTGGCTGTGGGGTTGTCATCTTTGTGAAGCTACCACCTTTGTGAGTATGTGATGGTCAACTAGCATATTCCCTCTTTATTAGTCCTCCTATTGCTCAGCTGGCATGGCTCAGTGATTGAGCATCAACCTATGAACCAGGAGGTTTATGGTTTGATTCCTAGTCAGGGTATATACGTGGGCTGCCAGGCTTGATCCCCAGCAGAAGCATGCAGGAGGCAGCCAATCAATGATTCTCTCTCATTATTGATGTCTCTCTTTTTCTCCTTCTCCATTCCTCTCTGAAGTCTGTCTGTCTGTCTATCTATCTATCTATATCTCTTAAGTCTGTCTGTCTGTCTGTCTGTCTATCTATCTATCGCTAAGTATCCGACTGTTTGACCGGTAGCTATGATGCCCACTGACCACCCTGGGGCAGACACTCAACACAGGGGCTGCCATGATGCCTACTGGCCATTTAAAAAGAAATGGCACATGGACCTGGCACTGACAAACCATCACTTGGCTTCCCCCAAGTGGGACACAGGCCCTGCCACCACCCCAGAGTGACACCCCACCATATCGCAGCCAATGCTGCCAAGACCCCCTGACGCAAAATGCAGCCCACAGCCCAGCCCAGCCCAGCCCAAAAATGATGGGTATGGGTACTGGGTAATGACATCACATAGCAACGCCTGGCTTCCTCTCCCTCGTGACTAGCCTCCTTGGAGTTTCTTCAGCTTAGGAACTCCATTTGCTTTATAGCCACATGCAAACATTTCACACTTAAACCAGATGTCTGTGAAATGTTTTCCCATGCCTCATTTCATCTGATCCTCACAGAAGTCCTGGAGTAGGCAGATAGGAAACTCGGTTGAATCCTTTTTTTTTTTTTTCTTTTCATTAGCCAGAAAATAGAGATTTAGAAAGCTTAGAAACTTGATCTGACTTAAGAGAAATAAGAAATAATGGACCTTGAAAATGACTTCAGGTTTTCTCACTGCGCAGAATATAGTCAAACACTGCCGCTATTAAATATTTTACCCTTTGTGCTCCCTGAGTGATCTATAATAATAATATGCTTCATGTTGATATTGACTACTGTGTTGCTGACAATTACCTGAAAGAGAAGTTGGAGTGCTTCACTGGGCTGGAAAAAATTTAGCTAAATCAGAAAGCAGGTCTAATTAAGCAAGTTTATTCTATATATACAAAAGGCTAAGTTGACGGGACCGGTTTGGCTCAGTGGATAGGGCGTTGGCCTGCGGACTGAAAGGTCCCAGGTTCAATTCTGGTCAAGGGCATGTACCTTGGTTGTGGACACATCCCCAGTGGGGGTGTGCAAGGGGCAGCTGGTCGATGTTTCTCTCTCATCGACGTTTCTTTTCTTTTCTTTTTTTTTTTTTAAATTAATATATTTTATTGATTTTTACAGAGAGGAAGGGAGAGAGACAGAGAGCTAGAAACGTCGATGAGAGAGAAACATCGACCAGCCGCCTCCTGCACACCCCCCACTGGGGATGTGCCCGCAACCAACGCACATGCCCTTCATTGGAATCGAACCCGGGACCTTTCAGTCCGCAGACCGACGCTCTACCACTGAGCCAAACCGGTTTTGGCTCATCGACGTTTCTAGCTCTCTATCTCTCTCCCTTCCTCTCTGTAAAAAATCAATAATAAAAAAAATTTAAATATATATATATATATATATATTTTTTTTTTTTTTTTAAAAAGGCTAAGTTGACTCATGCATGTGTGATACATATAAAGTTTTGCTGGCGCCAATCGCACGTGTGTGCTTCAATGTGTCATTGTCTATCATGATTTGGTTGATACTTCTATTATCGAGAAAGGGTGAATAGCAACATTAAAGTATTTTTTCTAATTAATTTCCTTTCAATGTGCACGAATCTGTGCATTGGGACAGAGTATATTAGGTCTAGTAATAATTAATGTCGTTTTCTAATACTTTTTTAAAAATCCAATTTATTTAAACAATACAACAAAATTTAATCAACAATATAGTTGCCGTTGTTTTCTACTACTTGTGCCCAACGCTCAGGAAGCATTTTAATCCCTCTGTTGTAAAATTCTTGTGATTTTGATGCAAAAAATTCGGTCAATGCATTTTTGAGGCATTCTTCATTATTAAATTTTTTTCCAAGAAGAAAGTTTTGCAAAGAACGAAACAAATGGTAATCGGAAGGGGCAATATCAGGAGAATATGCAGGTTGAGGGAGAACTTCCCATTCCAACTGGCGCAGTTTTTCAGCAGTGATTCTTGCAGTATGCGGTCGTGCGTTATCGTGGTGAAGAATTACGCCCTTCCGATTAATCAGCGCGGGTTCTTTTTCTCTTAAAGCTTGGGCTAACCTTTCCAATTGGGCACTATACACTGCACTTGTAATGGTTTGGTTAGATGGTAAAAGTTCATAATGAAGAATTCCTTTAAAATTCCACCAAACACACAACATCACTTTTTTCGCATGCAAGTCAGGTTTTGGCGTGGGCTGCGGAGCCTCATTTTTGTCCAACCATTGAGGCCACCTTTTCAAATTAACATACAGCACCCATTTTTCATCTCCGGTAACAATTTGCTCTAAAAACGGCAAACGGTTTTGACGAGAGAGGAGCGAACTGCAAATTGTGACTCTTTGATTACGGTTGTTGTCGGTCAACTCATGAGGAACCCATTTTCCAAACTTTTGGACTTTGCCAAGTGCACGCAATTGATTGGAAATTGTTTTTTGTGAACAATTTAAAGTTGTCGCAAGCTCTTGTTGGGTAATTTGAGGATTTTGCACCAAAAGAGCCTGAAGAGCTTCTTGATCAAAATTGGACACACGGCCTCGACCACTCTTGTCATCTAACGAAAAATTTCCCTCTCGAAATTTCTCAAACCAACGCTGGCATTTTCTGGCGCTAACTGCATCTTGACCAAGAGCACTACAGATGTTTTTTGCAGCCTCACTTGCTTTTCTTCCTAATTGGAACTTGTAAAGCATGCAGTGCCGAATATGCTCTTCATCCGCCATCTTCTTAGCCCTAGTTTTGCAACAAAAACCAAACCAAACACAAACTTTTTCAAGCAAAACTTGTTAATTGCACTTCACACGTTCTGTAGATACCACGTGTTTGAAGGTTATGTCAATACAAGTCAACGCCAAGCAAGATTTTAAACGAATGTTTAAAAACGACATTAAGTATTATTAGACCCGATACATATAAAAAGCTAAGTGACTGACTGTCTGTCCATCCGACCAGCCAGTACATATGACCATGCAATGGCAATTTAAAAATAAACATTGACTAGTGCATGCATGATGCATATAAAGCTCTTGCTGGTGCCAATTGCACACGTGTGTTTCGATCTGTCATCGAACATGAATTTGGTTGTTTTTGTTGACATTCTGAAGCTGAAAGAAATCAGTTTCATTGACAGAATATGTCCGAAGACCAACTATTAGCACAACTGTCCCTGTCTGATACTGGCCTCCCATTTAAATTAATAGAAGACAGTTTGATGTGATGCCAGCATTTGTGAATGACTTGATAAATCACAAGGAAAAACTCTAGACAGAGCAGGAATATTCCTACCTGATCCCGTTTTTAGACATGGTCAGTTATATGTTCCTTTCTCTCGAGTTCAAAGAGCATGTGACGTTAAAGTTGTAAATACTTCATCACAAAGGAAATTAGTCAAGCACTCTGAAAGTGTTTACTCTTAATGAGGTATACAGGGAGATAGAATAAGTTGAATCAATTTATCAGTCATTGTTCTTATCAATGTTTTTATATCATGTTTTTTATGTCTTTATTGTTATTATATCATGTTATTTATTTACTAATCAATTTAAATATTGATTTTTTAATTAAATTATTATCTGTGTACCTATTTTACCATTGCCCCAATATTTTCATATACATTTTAATAATTTTTTTTAATCTCTGAGACTTCTATTTTAGAGAAAGGGAGAATAGTGATATTAAAATATTTCTTCTAATTAATTTCCTTTCAATGTGCACAAATCTATGCACCGGGCCATTAATTATATATGTATTTAAAGAAGATAATAGGAGGGTTTTTAAAAAAATTGGTTTCAAAGAGGAAGGGAGAGGGAGAGAGAGAAACATCAATGATAAAAGAAAATCATCAATTGGCTGCCTCCTGCATGCCCCACACTGGGGATTGAGCCCACAACCCAGGCATGTGCCCTGACCAGGAATCGAGCCATGACCTCCTGGTTCATAGTTTGATGCTCAACCACTGAGCCACGCCAGCCAGGCAATTATTTCTCTTCTTATCAGGCGCTTGTTTCTGGTTCTGAGTACCACCTGTGCTGCGACAAGGACGGCTGTGGGGAGCTCTCTGAAGGCCTCTGGATGACTTACCAATGTTAACCGAGTCCTCCCAGTCTTCCAGCACCTCCGTGACAATGAGCACATACACATACGTCCTGTGCTTCCTCTCCTGGTTCTGAGGGCAAAGAGAGGAGGACAGAGGGAGTTACTCCTTACAGAGCTGAGAGGACTTACGCGAAGTGCACTCTCACACTTACATCCAGAGAGGTTATGTCCACAGGATTCCTTTTACTTTCCACTGTCCTACAGTCAAACACGAACTAGTACCAGATGGGCTATTTGAAACAGGCCACACATGTATTTGAAGGTAAGCTCCTTGATTGGATTTCTAAAGCCAAGGCTTTACTTTTGTTTTCCTTCCGTTTCCTTAAGTGCAACTTCATATAAATGCTGTGAGCAGGAAGGTCATGACCTCTCAAGAAAAAGGCACCAAGTACATTAGGTAGCTGGGCACAGAAAGAAGAGAGACTGTGGATGGGCAGGGCCTCATCGGTGCAAGTCAGTGATTATCTCTCCTCCTACTAACCTCTTCTTTCCCTCTTCTCTTCCCTTCCCCTCCTCCAATCTCTGCCCCAGTAATTTCCTTGTTTCTCTCTCTTTTGCTATAGCTGCTTAATCTTCCATTTTCCTTCTGTCTTCTCTACATTTACCTACCCCTTTCACATCTCAGGAGGAAAGGTAGAGAGATAGGGATGGGATAAATAATACTTACAAATAATATTCTAGCTGTTTGGAGGAGACAAAGACTACAATAGACTTAATATTTATGCAAACCCCCCCCCCATTCATATGGTGAAATCATGTCCTCAGTGTGATGGTTAGGAGGTGGGGTCTTTGGGGTTGACCCTCAGGAATGGAATTAGTGCCCTTATAACAGAGACTTAGAGAGCAACCTTCTGTTTTCCACCATATGAGGACAGAAACAGTGGTCCATGAATCAGGAAGCAGGTGCTCAGCCAGACACTGAATCTGCTAGTGCCTTGATCTTCCACTTCTAGGCACCAGAATGATGAAAAATCAATTTCTATTATTAATAAGCATCCTAGTTTATGATATTTTATTACAGCATCTTGAATGGACTAAGACAAAGATATATGTGTTATTAATACAATACCAAATGTACCAAAGATTTTAACAGACTTACCTCAAAAATTCCAACTAATCTTCCCAATGTCCCTTTTACTCCAGCCTGAAAAGTGGGAAAAAAATTAACACTGATGTTGTTTATATTGCTGTCTCATTCTGAATCTACTGAGCAGTTAGTGAAACAGAAATGAAAAACAAAAGGACATTTTGGTGAGAGTCACACTAGCGTTTCATGTGTCACTGACAAGAGCTTTTCTCCTCCTCTAGGCTCTCCCCACACTGCAGAGCCGGCCAAGCAGAACAGGTAACCACGGCCATGGACTACTTCACTCACCTACCCATTTGTTCAACAAAGACACACTGAATGCCTGGTCTGAGCCAGAAAACACCGTGTACCAGGGATATCGTGACGGACGGGCTAGAACAAAAGGGCAAGGCCCTTATCTGGCGCGTTCTTGGATGTTGTGTGCCCAGGGCAGAGCTCAGCACCGGCAGGAGTTCAGCAAAACTAAGTCAACAAAAACACACACCTGGTCACTGTGCCAGGACAGGGACTGACAGAGATGCACAGAGCAATGTGAAGTCAGACAGGATGAGGAGCGACAACTTCATTCAGTGGTTAGGCATTTGAGTATATTCTATCTCCTATTATTTTATTTATTTATATATATTTTTAAAATCTGTGTCTTTCCAATGTACTAGAGGCCTGGTGCACGGATTCGTGAACTGGTGGGGTGCCTTGGCCTGGACTGCAAGGATTGGGCCCAAACTGGCAGTCTGACATCCCCCAAAGGGGTCCCAGAGTGTGAGAGGGCACTCTGCAAAGTTGCTGTTGCTTGGCAGCTCTTGCGTTGAGTGTCTGCCCCCTGGTGGTCTTTATGCATCATAGCTACTGGCCAGTTGCTTAGGCTTACACACACACACACACACACACACACACACACACACACACACAGATTATATATGAACTAGAGGCTTGGTCATAAAAATTCATGCACTGGAGGGAGGGTCCCCTCAGCCTAGCCTGCCCCCTTTCACCGACTGGAACCCTCAGGGGCAGGAGACAATCTGGCGATCAGGGGAAGGTAACAGCCCCATCACACCTCTGCTGCTGCCATTGCGGCAGCGCAAGCCTCGGCCGGCCCTTGTTACCTGAGCCTCGGGTGGCCCTGGGCGGCTGGGCAGCCACTATTCAAGGCTTGCCTGCGCCTTGGGCCGACCCTGAGCAACTGGGGGGCTGAGGCAGTCAATTAGCATATTCCTTCCTTATTGGTTGAGAGGGTGTGGTGGTCAATTAGCATATTCCCTCTTTATTAGATAGGATTTTTTCAGTCTATTCCAATTTATTCCAACAGTATCCAGGCTAGAGTTATCCTATCTCTAGCCTGCATTTTATTTGATATTTTAAATTTCTATACGTTCTTCACATATCTGTTTAAATTACATATTCTATTTCTATGTTTTGTTCTTTTAAAATAGAAGCTATTCCTTTATTTCTCAATCATCTGAGTATATTTAAGGTCTTTGTCAGGCCATCTACAAAATTCATTGAGTCTGAAGAGCATTCACGCTCCAGCTGGGGAAGGCTTGCGAGGCGGCTTTCCCCGGCCTGGACCTGTAGGGCTCCTGCCCCAAGGTGGCGTGAGAATGCTGCAGACAGAGCCCGGGGCCAGAGGCGGGTGGCCATCCTTGAGTGTGCACTGCCTCTGTGTCCCCTCCCTGCCTACGTCCACATCTTTCTAGGTCTCAGCTCCTGGTGTCCTTCCCATCAGGCACCTGGGCCCCACTCCAAGGGTCCAGACTGCATTCTGTGGTGCTGCTCTGTTTCTGATCTATGAGGATTACTTCATTCATTCATTCATTCATTCACTCATTCAATAAATATACACTGAATGCCTAATCTAAGCCAGATAACACCTTGCTCTTGAGCCAGGCTATGACTTTTTAGCTTCTGCTTTTTATATCTATCTCTGCCAGAACAGAAGGAAAAGATGAATCCCTGGAAATGCCATGGAATGCTCTAACTTGTTTTCTATTACTACTACCTTATTTGTAAAATAACCTAAAAATTAAGACAAAGTATTTTCTAAACACAACACAGGTGCTCAGTAATTTTGTATAGAATGAACAAACATTTAAAATAAGTACTCTAATTTTTCCATTGATCTTTAGAGGGACTGGAAGGGAGGGGAAGAGACAGAGAGAAAGAGAAACATTGATGTGACAGAGACATATCAATTGGTTGCCTTCCACTTGCATTCAGACCAAGGTCAGGAATCAAGCTTGCAACCAAGTTATGTGCCCTTGATCAGAATCAGACCCAGGACCCTTCAATCATCAGGTTAATGCCTAGCCACTGTTCACTGAGCCAAACCTGCTAGGGCTACTCTAAAAGTTTTAAGAGATATTGAATAGAAACAAAAGGAGCCAATTTAAAGGGCTAGACAACTGAGTGAACTATATTTTAAAATTAATTTTTGCTAATTATCTGCCAAGGAATTCCATTCCTTTCTCTTGCCAAGATGCCTGTTTCTTTTCCTAGTCTTTTCCCCATTCATTTAATATATATATATATATATATATATATATATATATATATATATATATATTCCCCATTTTAATATATATATAAAATTGATTTTTTACAGAGAGAGGAAAGGAGAGGGATAGAGAGTTGGAAACATCAATGAGAGAGGAACAGAGATGAGAAAGAAACATCGATTCAGCTGCCTCTTGCACAATCCCCAAAGGGGATGTGCCCACAACCAAGGTACTTGCCTTTGACTGGAATCGAACCTGGGACCTTTCAGTCCATAGGCCGATGCTCTATCCACTGAGCCAAACCAGTTAGGGCTTCCCCATCCATTCTTGTCTCCATATGGCTTTCGGTCTACTTGAATGAAAATGTCTACCTTTTCTTATTTAAATTGCTTCTCTACAGTTTTAGAAATAACTGTACTTTCACAGCCAGCAAAGATCAGCTAGATTGTATTTCATGAATTAAGCAGTGAAGCAGCCTGAATAACTGGGACAAGCGGGCACACCAGCACGAGCTGGAAAGCCAACTCTGTCCTCTGATCTAGGCAGCCAAGCCCACTCAATGTGTCCCCCTCGCCCTTTCACAGGTATGCACTGACAGAGGTGGGGAGTAGAGCTATCAGGGTTGGGATGGAGGGGGGCGGGGAGTTAGAGGAGGGGGAGGTGGGTAAAGAAAAATTATAGAGGTTCAAAGATGCCATCATTCACTTTTCTGGAAAGTGGAGAAAGAGTTCTCTTTAGCAGTTATTGTGCAATTAATTGTTTTTGTTAATCCTCACCGGAGGATATATTTTCCACTGATTTTTAGAGAGTGGGAGGACGCCCTAACTGGTTTGACTCAGTAGATAGAGCGTCGGCCTGAATGTTTGAGAGTGGGAGGAAGGAGAGGACGGAAGAAGGGAGAGAGGGAGGGAGGGAGGAAAGGAAGGAGGGAGGAAGAAATATGAAAAACACATCTACTGTGTTGCATCTGGCAAGTGCACCAATTGGGGCTGATCAGGGCAGGATCAAACTTGCAACCCAGGTCCATTTTCTGGACTGCGAATCAAACCCTCCACCCCTCAGTGCCTGGGCTGACACTCAGAACCAGAGCATGATTCCATGCAGCCTGACCAGAGCACATGTCCGGTTGTAGGCTCCACCCCCAGTATGGGGTGTGAAGGAGATAGCTAATTGATTGTCCTCTCAATCAATTCCCTCTCTCCGAAATCAATAAAAACATTTAAAAAACCCAAAAGTTTAAAAAATGGTCTTAAAATTTTAAGGGCACAAGTCAACTTCATATTACAACAACTCAATATAATTTACAAATTTTAATAGTAATTTCTGCATTCAGCATCAACATATAACCTGGATTTACTCTGTTAGGCGCAATTGGGAAAAATATAAAGGCATTTTCCTTTATAAAATTTATGCACTCTTATAAAATCTAGAGTAAGTCAAATCATATTGCCATCTGTACACTGAAATTTCAGTGGCATTTATTTTCACTTCTCATTAAAGTTCAAGTTGTAGAAAATAACAGTTTTATTTGTCTCTTAGTATTTCTTTCGAATTTTACATTAACACTTAGGGAATCTACTTGTGTAAATTTTACCTAAGGTGATCCTGCCAATGATTCTATAGTAAAAAGCAAAGAAATATTCCTCTACTTACCAGTTGTGATTTATTTAAAAAGATATATACTTTTTTATTGATTTCAGAAAGGAAAGGAGAGGTAGAAACATCAGTGTTGAGAATCATTGATCAGCTGCCTCTTACAGGCCTCACACTGGAGATGGAGCTCACAACCTGGGCATATGCTCTGACCAGGAATTAAACCCTGACCTCCTGATTCAAAGGTCGAAACTTAACCACTAAGCCATAACAGACTGGACTATTTACCAGTTTTTAAAATTAAGCCTTAGGCCTGGCCACGCTGTCTCCATGGTTGAGCATTGACCTATGAATCACAAGGTCCCGGTTCATTTCCCAGTCAGGGCCAGGAGGCAGATAATCAATGATTCTCTCTCATTACTCTCTCTTTCTCCTTCCCCTTTCCTCTCTGAAATCAGTAAAAACGTATTTTAAAATGTAAATAAAATTGAGACTTAGCAGTTTTCTTAGGAGGAGGCTCTTCAGTAAAAAAGAGAATTTCAGCTGAGACCGGGTTGGCTCAGTGGACTAAAGGGTCCCAGGTTCGATTCTGGTCAGGGGCATGTGCCTTGGTTGCGGGCACATTCCCAGTAGGGGGTGTGCAGGGGGCCGCTGATCGATGGTTCTCTCTCATCGATGTTTCTGGCTCTCTGTCCCTCTCTCTTCCTCTCTGTAGAAAATCAACATATTAAAAATAAATAAATAAATGGAAACCTTTAAAAATAATAAATAAATAAAAAGGAAACCTTTAAAAAATAATAAATAAATATATATATAAATAAAAAAGAGAATTTCAGTTCTTTAAAGTCACAGTGCTGAAAAAGAGATTCGTCTTGAGCAAAGGTCCTCCTTGACAAGGTTCACTATAACCATTTTACTTTTTCATAACTTTCCACAGTCCAACATCCATCTCCCCGCTCTCTCTCAAAT